AAAATGATCTCTTGTTGCAGCCCTAGAATGTGTTACAAGCACAGTTAGAATTGTAATGTGGTATAATTAGGACCTGAGCTCCTGGCACCGCCTACCTCCCTTTCAGCCTGACTGGACCCTGCCTCAAACAACCACCTGTTCTTCCTCACGAATTGGCTTCACAGGCTGTTCAGACAGAACTAGAAACACTCTACTCCATTTTGGGGAAAAGCTGTGCTACACCCTGCCCACACTGCTCTGCTGTCTTTGTTCTGTTCGCTTCTCCAGCTCCAGTCACAGAGGGCAGTGCTGTCTGCATCATAGCCCTGAGCTGGCACTCCACATGCCCATACGTACCACCACTTCATGCTCTCCAAACCACTAGAAACCATGTCACACAGTTGTTCTCTTCAGAAGATTTGCATGGTTAAATTGTTGTATCTTTAGTTAATAGGTACAATTATTGTACCTATTACATTGTACCTACTGCTGACTGTCTACCTGCTGTCAATCCTGAGGGATGCACCAATCCAACATTTTCACTCTCAGTACCGATTACAATACCTCTACTCAGTTGATTCTGAGATACCAACACTCTCTATTCCCATAAATCTGCTTTTAAAAGGGATTACTGTGGCAGTAAATTTGAAGCAGGAGTCTGTTCTGACTGAACAAATGTAACTGATGGACGAAACAAAGAAACCCTATTTAATGTCACATAATCCTCCACGTATTACCCTTTTATGTGACCACATTAAATGCAATCTGTGGTCCGTATTAGTGGCAATACCGATCCGCGTATCAGATCAGTGCACCCATACTGACTAATTCAAGACTTCTTTATCCTACAACTACTGACTGCTTAGTCTGCTTATCTCCGTTTTGAATTGCAACAACCATAGAGGCCACTAGGTGGCAGTATTGGTTTAACTGTGTTAGCAGGTTGAAACTTGAGACAGTTTTTGGTTGGACAAGAGATAAACAATACAGTGCCATTGATTTTTGATTCAGTTACGTCAGTCTTTGCGCCTTCAGGCACACACACTAAAAATCAGTTTAGCATCGGTTAATGGTTAACTTTTAGCCTGTACCAATGGGTCGTTCTGACCGAGGGGTTGGTGTTATCTTTTTTATATTGCTATTCATTATATTATTTATAGTTTTGACCCAGTTTTAGAAACAACAAGCTTGAGTTTTCCCTTAAAACTTTCACAAAAGTATTAAAAAAAGATGTATGACATGATATTAAAAACAGCAAAGGATACACATATTGTTAACTGTCTGTAACTAATAGTGATAATAGCGAGAGTAGATTAGAGTTCCTAACTATACTATATTTTAGTTTGGGTTGTATGAAAAATAACACTAACACTGAGTGGCTTTCTACTCATGAGTAGCCGCTATTGCCTTGGTGCTAGATTGATCCAAATTGCGTTAATTTTGACTGTGATTTGTGTAAGTAACTCAAATATTAACATCTGCTACATATACCAGATCCTCCTGGGATTGCAGCTCTAAACCCATTCATAGCATCTACTTGTTGGATCTGTTTGACCTTTCAGTGGTGGTCTCACATGAACATCAGTGCATACCTTAATATCAGCCTCTGCGTTGTCCCAGAACACCAACAGCCAAACTAACAAAGCAGCAAGCAGCCGCAGTCAGAGCAGAGAGAGAGAGAGAAAGAGAAATGAAGAGCAGTAAGGACAGGAAAGATGTGGAGAGATGAGGAGCAGGTTTCAGGAAATAGAGAGGGGAAGAGATGTGAGAGAATGATACTGGATGAGAGACAGATGGAGGGGAGAGGTTGAGACGGAAGAATAGAGAGAATGGGTGATAAGAGGAGGAGAGGGAAAAAAACAAAGGGATCAGATTAATGGAAAGGTGGCAAGCTGACGTTAGACATGGGGGGAAGTAATACATGAAGGAGAGGATGAAAGAGAGACAGAGGGAGGGAAGGAAGACAAAAAAACAAGATCAAAACGTGTGAATGAGAGGTCCAGATGTGACCGATGTGTCAGCCAGGCTCAGCTTGTCCCTCGAGCAACAACAGACTGAGCTGAATAGCAGAGCGAGACTGACATCTAGTGGAAGGGAAACCAACAGCAACTTACCTGTTTTTTTCCCTTCATCCTGTTTTATAGTTGCTCTCTTTCTGGTTAGAGGTAGTCCAGCTGTGCGAGTGCTGGCAGCTCCTCTGAAAAATCCTCAGCTGCAACCTACTTATCAAGTCAGAGCTCATATTTGTCAATTGTTTTAGTGTGGGAAATAAGTCCTGGCTGCATAAAACAGTGACACATTTGGTTGTACTTTTAGACTAAGGTATAAAAACATGGCTACTGACTCTGCTACTGACAATGAGGACAGATCCAGAGGTGTCTGGTGCCAGGGCTGGAGGTCAGGCAGCAACACACCCAAAATATTAGTTCATTGGGTACCCGGTTAGCTCAGTGAGTAGAGCTGGTGACCCATGTATCGAGGCTGAGTCCTTGCTGCAGCGGCCCAGAGTTCGAATCTGACCCACGGCCCTTTGCTGCCTGTCATCCCCTCTCTCTCTCTCTCTCTCTGTCCCCCTTTCCTGTATATCTTCAGCAGTCTCTATCATAAAGGCAATAAAAAGACCCCCAAAAAAATACTTTAAAAAAACCAAAACATTATGTCATTCAATGAATGCCAAAGAAAAAGTGGGAACATTGTTTAGGATGATCACTCGTCAGTTTGCTCAATCTCTTTATTAAACGGTGATATCTCTGTACAACACTTTGTAATGTGAAGTCTATCCAGCCTTTCTCATCAGGGGAGCGAGTGGCAAACGGAAAGGAAGTGTTGATTGTCTCTGAGATTGCCCTCAGTGCATTTTCTTATCTTGGCTGCTGAGGATTGGGCTCAGTTTATCTCTTTATGTTTTTGTTCGCTGCAAAACACAAGAATGTCTTCCTGTCTTCCTCTCCTGTTTTGTTTTCTGAAGATATTTCTAAAATGGTCATCCCAATACCACATAGCTGTATTTAGACATTGTACAACGATGATTTCATGCATTTCGGTCAAATTTCCAAAGCTTTTAAAGGACCAATGTAAAGAAATCAGTGGCATCTATTTGCCGATTGCAATTCCCTCACTTCACCCTCCTGTTTGAACTGTGTTGGAGAAATTACAGTGGTCTAACCTTGGGTGGCAGCTGGGCTTGTAAGATCACAAAATCACACGAGAATCCATCTTGCCAGGCTTGATTTTTCTATTTCTGCCAATAGACCTTTAACATAATAACTAAAGCTCACCCAGAAAAGGCGGTGATATTTAATAAATATGTATTTCCCCTTTTAATATGTCAAATGCTCAACTTTCAAACTAGGTATTCATTATTTCTACTCCCAGAAGTTGTCCTGCTGCTGTAAGTCAGGATAGGAAGGATAATTTCTAAAACTCTAGTCTTACTCAGAACTAGCTGTGTTTTACTAGTTTAACTTTAATGTGATCCTATTAGCGATTCTGGATGCTTGGTAAATACACACCCTGGTTGTTGAAATAAACTCCAGCTGATTACGTAGGAATCAATCCGAAGTGAATCACTGTGTCACTGTAAGAATCATCACTCAGACGAGAGCAACAATATTGATTCATATGAAAAATGTCCCTAATATACAGTAACATTCAGGGTTGTCAGCCAATCATGAGAAATAACATCCCCAAGTGATATCTGTCAGGCTAATATCTCCTGAGAATGTCCAGCAATGTGTCATAACTGTAGAGATTGGATGGTGATTTCAATGCTGTGAGAATTTGTTTTACCTTTTAAAGGTTTAATAATCTGGACATCCTGAACAGCTGCTGTGCTGCTATTTAAAACCTGCTGTCTTTTTTATTTCCTCCAACTGAACATTTTATATAACTGAAAATTGGTTTATTGGCTTTGAACAGATTTCAGATGACATAACTTCCTGTTTTGAGCCTTCAACAGCAAATTCTGAAAGTTATTTCTGGTCTAATTTGCACATTTTGAAGTCCTGCTTACTGAAACTGAGAAATATCATTAAAATAAGAGCAGTGCTGTGCGGAAAGATAGTTGAGCAAATCCTCCATGTCATCTCCTCCTACCTTAATTGCTGCAACGCTGTGTTTACATGTCGGAATGGTGCTGCAACTGAATATAAATTGGCCCAGAATGCATCTGCAAGGCTTATGAACAACACTGAACACAGAAAGCACTCCAGTCCTGGCTGTGTTAGACTGGCTTACAGAGCCTCTAACAGTTCAAATTGTGATCCTTTAGATTCAATTTTTAAGCTGTACGCCCAGCTCCTACACTTTGCATTACATTACTTCATAGCATAATAACATCTATGTTTTGTTCGGACTCAAAAATGATCTATGATCAAATTTTCTTTACATGTTCAAAATGTGTGCAACCAGTCAATGTATTGTTAAAAAAATGCATAATAAAGACAGAGAATTGCATAACAAGCTCCTAAAAATATCAGGAGAAGTCATCTGTGATCCATATTCACAGGATACAATCTGCTTAAAACTTTACACAAACTTCCTGCGGTTATTGCGAGTCAGTTAACTCAATGATATAAAAGTGGTCCCTTAGGAAGAACCACTGCTATTAGCGATCATCTCATCTATTCTCATTATTTGTTTGAGCTCTATGAGTGGAGGGAACTAGAAATAGCTCCTGTTGCCAAGTTGTATCTAAAGTTTGTCCTATTTACTGGAGAAGTGAACATAAACCTTGCATAAAAACCTTATGGGATGGTAATGATTGTTCCAGGTCTTAGAAGTGTTACCACAGTGTTGCAAATGACCATAGTATGAGTGTGATAATGGCCTTCAAGGTGTCCATAATCAGGAACTAACGGACTCTGCGGAGGAAACTGTCTCACATGCTCCCTGTCGTCCATTAATTCCTGATAATGGACACCTCGATGGGCATTAATCCCTTACTTACACATACTTTGATATGTGGGATTGTTATTTATTTCAGATGTTTTACCCATATTTCATCATCAAGACTCCTAAGATGTATTTATTGACAACATGCTAAACACAACAAAAACTGGTAAATACAATGAATCACCACTGAGGGATATGGTGGTAGCTGCAGTTTAAATCACACAGAAAATGAATCAGCAGCTCAAACTGTTTATATCACACATTGGAATCAAATCTTCTCATACTGTGTGAGTATTAACTATTATTCAAATATTGCTATTTTTGTGTGACAGGTTTACGATTCTACAATTTTCATCTTTTATGTTGAGTTAAAGGAGTGATACAGTAAATGGTCCACGATGGTCCCACACTGTCATAGTTGTTCATGTAGCTGAGTTTCAAATGTTTCTGTCATCTCTCCTGTTTGTCTCTGCTCCTTAGTTAAGCAGAAATACCATTATATATTTAATTCAAAAATACCAAGCTCAAAAATATAATGTAGTCAAGCTAAAAACACTTGTTTTTCTTCCTGAAAAGTCACATTTTTTTTATGGTTTTAGTTAAAAGATTTAAATATTCTGACAATATGTGTTTGTCCAAAACACACAATCATAGTCCTGAAACTAGACAGGTGGATGTGTTGAAAATGACACACCTCTCTCTTTTGAACAGCGTACATATCTTCTGTACTCAACAGCAGTTATTGGCCTCCTGCGTCTGTTTTTCCCCTCCCAGCCACAGGGGAGCGCTGTTGATTTTGGCGCTCTGGGCCCTGGCCTCTTTCGACTCGCCCTGCATGCCCCCTCCCTCGCTAGCCAGGCGCTTGTGGATCTCAGAGGCCATGGTGAGGAAAGCCCTCTCCACGTTATCAGAGCTCTTAGCACTCGTCTCCAGGAAGGTGATCTTAAGAGACGAGGCCAGGTCCTGGAGGGACACAAATCTTATTAACATGCAAAATCATCACAATGTATCAATACTGTAGTGTAAAAATACACCAATAAGCTCTGCATTTAAAATTCTAGTTGAGAATCAAGTATTAGCAGTAGAATGTACTCATGGATTAAAAGTGAGTACTCATTGTGAAAATGAATCCCCTCAGTCTTCAATTATTGGTGAGTGGACATGTAAGCAATTTAATATTGTAAGTGGTGTAACTGCTTTATATTCTGTTGGGTATTTTAAAACTACATCAGAGCATCATATTTTATGAGTTTACATTATGTATGTCATGTAAAAACTCTCTACCCTGACTACTGAAAAGTAGTGGAGAGAAAGTGGAGATTCTCCCAAAGCTTAAAGTTTTACTAGTTAAAGGTGCAGTGTGTAACATTTCCGAAGGTCTATTGGCAGAAATGGAATATAATAGTAATAGGTGTGTTTTCATTCATGTATAATAAGAAAATAAGAATTGTTGTGTACCTTAGAATGAGGTGTTTTTATCAACACAGGAAGTGTTCCTCTACTATGGTGTCCGCCATGTTGAACTGCCATGTTTCTACAGTAGCTTTAATAGTTTTACACCCTGCGTAGTCCCCTACATGCTTGGAAGGCTGAGCTGTATCCAAATGGTTGCAGTCTGAAACTTCAATTGGCAACTTTTAGCGGAAACTGCAACTCTCTCTGGAGAAACGACGGTGGCTGAGAAACATGCAAAAAAACGCGAATGGCCCTGTCTAAAGCCAGTGTTTGGTCTACAGTAGAAACATGACGGTAAAACAGCCTCCATGGTGGGCGACCTCTTGCGTCTATAGATATAAAAAGCTCATTCTAATAATTATTTTCAGGTTATACAGTAATGAATCATACCTTTTTAATATTATATTCCACTGGTCCACACTGGACCTTTCAACAGGCTTACCCTATAAATGTCATCGTGCTAATGCTAACATATTAGCACACTTTCAAATTTAACTCAGGTAACAACTTGGCTTGTTCTCTGTTACCCTCAGGAAAAAAACATTTATGGTAAGGATCTACAACAGCAGTCTTTCCATTTTTGAAGCATGCAATTTTGTTCTCTGGTGTTAAATGAGCATTACAGCCTCACGGCTGCTAGACTGATGCTTGGAGTTGTTTAATAGTATTTGGAGGCAGTACATTTAGGCCGAGCTGTGTGTAGCCTGTTACCTGAGCAGTGGCAGCATCCACCACTTTCTTACTAACGAGGTCACACTTGTTTCCCACCAGCAGCCTGGAGACGTTTTCACAGGCGTAACGATCTATCTCGTCCAGCCACTGCTTCACGTTGTTAAAGGACTCCTGGTGACAAAATAGAGAGAGAAGAAGGAAGACAAGTTAATGTTCAACTCTGTCTCATTATGTTGTTGATGATGTGCCAAAAACACACTGACCTGCTCTGTGACGTCGTAGACGATAATGATACCGTGAGCTCCTCTGTAGTAGCTGGAGGTGATGGTTCGAAACCTCTCCTGACCTGCTGTGTCCCACTGTGGGAAACACAGAGTATGGTGTGCCAGTCAGAACACTTAAATGACACAGTACTTCCTTACTTTAACAGACAACAAACTGGTCATTTCCTGAGGGGAACCCACCCCCCATCCCTTGACCACGTCTGATAAATAAACTCTTACAATCTGTAGTTTCACTGTCTTCCCGTCCATGTCGATGGTCCTGATCTTGAAGTCGACTCCGATGGTGGAGATGTAGCTGTCAGTGTAGGTGTCATCCTGGGGAGTGTGTGTGACATGTGATCAATAACAAGCAGTAAAGTGTTTAAAATAAAGTGCGTTTGAGTGGCATTGTTTTATGGGCCTACCGCGAAGCGCAGCAGCAGACATGACTTTCCGACTCCAGAGTCACCGATCAGAAGAAGTTTGAACAGGTAGTCACTGGAGGACGACACACACGTAGATGTCCATACACATAAAAACACTTTGTTTGCCTCATTTTAAGTTAAGATGAAAATCTATCTAATAAGATAAAATATTATATATTATGTAATTAGCTACCTAATTAAAGATATCATATCAAAACCAGACTGTAAAATTGTAAATTGCAAACCTCTGGTGCACATCCAAATATAGTTATGAATGCAGATATTTTTATGAAACAGATACAGACACAGATGGTGGCATACTGCACACTCTAATAACCACAGTGTGACTGTGAAACACAGCCAATGTGTTTCCATTTTGTGTTGGCAGTAAAAAAATGGATCTTCACTCTCGCCAGTAAAAGCATTTATTTATTTTCTCACTTCCATGTCGGCATGATCACTTATCTTATGTTTCTGTTTGGTCTATAGCAAAATACAAATGCTGTCTTTGATATATTCTATGTTTGAGGTTAAGGGTTAGGTTTTCACTTAAATTACTTGACAAAGGCAACAAGCAATTCCATGAACTGTTAGAACATGTCTACACAACAAAGGCACTTTATGAACAAAATGAGTTTGCAGATCTGGAGGTCTAACACGCAAACTTGGGACACAAGCATAACCTTGCTAGGCAGTTGGAGTCAGAAGGCCACACAATTACAAGATTACATGAGAGTCCATCTTGCCAGGCTTCAAGTTATTCACTTATGTCCAAACCACAGTGGTCGGACCAATCGGTGTTCTCTGAGGAACCACTGGCAGCTACAGTATAAAGAGATTAGCGTAGATGCTGCTAGCATCAGTTATATCAGAACTGGGGAGTAGTTCTTGATTGAAAGAAGAACAAAGAATGGCACCAAAGGCTAATCTCGATAAAAAAGATGTTTCACTCCTCTTCAGACTGGTTTCAAGTGTTTGACTACGTTATACCTTATGGTACGTTGTATAGTCTGTTGTTCTTAATGGTTTGAAGTTGTCCCATGATAGATGGTGATAGACAAATGGTTCCTCCAATCACCTGCCAAGTATTTTTTGCCCTGTTCCAAACATTTTCCAATGGTGACTTCTCAGCATGCGTTAACACAAACACACACATGCACACAAACACTGCTTGTTGGGAACTGTTGGGTCTCTGTAAGTAATGTTATAAGGAGTTCGGTCTATTATCTAGACCTGCTCTATTTGAAAAGTGTCCTGAGATAACTTCTGTCATGAATTGGCGCTATACAAATAAAACTGATTGAATTGAATTGAATTCTGTCAGTGTCATATCTGTGGTTTTCATCCAGAGTCAATCAGATATTAAATCTACTTTACTTTATTTTTGCAGCTAATGCTTGGTGTAGTGTTAATGTCATTATATTGGCATTGGAGTCACTGTTTATCTAGTTGCTGCTTTTTTGAATACACATGGGAAGTTGTATTGCATGTGTAGTTTGTCATTTGTGTTGTAAAGTCAATTCATGACTTTCTGTTGACCCACAAAGTAGACTCTTAAATTGAGTGGGATGTAAATGAGCCTCCTGAGCTGTGCTGCATTTTATCCATAAACATACCAATGTTGAAGAGTTGGTTCATTTACCTTATATTGTATATAATATATTATAACTAGTGATTAGAGATTATTACTAAAAATAATCCTCAGATTAAAACAAAAAAAACTTCCTTGTATATCACAGTTTTAGTTTGGTGTGGCAACTGAACTGCCTCACAGGACTACGTTACCCATCAGCCATAGGGGTCTTGTGAACTAGGTTCCAATTTCTTAGAATTGTCTAAGACTTTTTCTTCTGTAACGATAGAGAAAGATGTGTTATAGTCATGAATCTGGCGTCTAAAACTATAAGGTTATCTACTGTATTTTATACTTACATTTTCTATACATACACACACAGAATTACAGTAACATATCTATACTCGAACACAGGATGGAGCTAAAACCGTGCTTAAATATAGATCAGAGGTCAACAAACCCAACACAGTACATCCGGGTCAAAAATATGTATATGTATGTATGTGTATACAGTGCAGTATGTGTCTTTAATGAACTGAATGTTTACACCTCCATAACATAGTAATACAACGCACACAGAAAGAAACAACACTTACTATTCAGGATTCATGATCGGTGAGGTCGCCCCAGGTGACAGGACAAAACAAAAACTCCTGAAATTGAATCCTGAAGCTGAAAACAGTCTGATTATCTCAGACTCTGTGATGTTGTGTACAGTTCTGTACCTATCCGTGTTTGTGTGTATGAGTATTTGTGTGTGTCTGTATCCGTCCTTTGGAGGGCAAATGGCAGTATAAGCCGGAGCTACCTTCCTCGCGAGCTGACTGATGAGCTGACTGGTTCAGATGCATTATTTATTAATAAAGATCAGCTCAGGTTACACGTGGGACAGCACCTGGAACCAAGACTCTTGCAAATACACACACACACACACACACACACACACACACACACACACACACACACACACTGCATTTCTGAAAACAATCACTAAACTTCACCACCAACTAATTTGTAATTTGCTCTTTTCATTTTGGATAGTGTATTTGTGCTGATCTGATCTGCACCACACTCTGCCTCAGCTCGTGAATTACGTCACCTCAGCTCACAGCGTGTCCTGTGCGTCACACGTCACAGGACTGACCGCAGCTCTGACATTTCCAAACAAACAAGCAGGAAGTAGTTCTACTGGAACCACCAAAGAAACTACAAATAAGCTATCGCTGATATCAAAGAACAAATATTTCTCTATATGTCTGTTTCTTGTGGAACAAAATACCTGTATGTCAATCTCAATACCTGTATATCTATCTCAAGTCTTTGATCACAGGGAATCCTAGTGGAGCACTGACATCCCTGGTGACCTTAAACCTGCATAAACTGATTTTGTTTGGCCAGTTGGTGGCAGTGTAAACAGGCTGTAAACACAAGACGGAAATATTATCACCATATAGAGTTGATGTTGAACTTTTTATCCAATAGCTTGTAGTATTTACACATGCAGCAGCTACAGAGGTACAGTAGCATTCATTTGCAGTCCTGTTTCTGGCAAATATGTTTATGTGTATTTTTTTCTTCTCCTTTTTAGCTCTGTTTTGATCTCCACCAACTCTGAAGAAATCAGCTGCTCGATGTTTCACTTTCTTCATCAGCTAGTTGCTAACTTTGACTGTTTGCCGTTTAGTGATGGACAAGTGGGTTTATCAGAGGTGATTTCACTGAAAACAGCTTCCTTCTAAACTATGCTATGAGGGCAAAAAAGTTGTGATTCAGTAAACCAAAACAATGAGCTGAAAGATTCAAGTGATAAGCTTTACTAAATAGCATGAAGAACAAGACTTAAGACTTTTAAATGGTGCGTAGTGCATACGGCCATCCTTCCCATTAACTTCCGTGAGGTGATGTAGTATAAAGAGCGCCAAATGGCCCATGGATGGATGGGTCAAAGGGCGGTGTTTGGTGCCTTTGAAACCAAAAGTCAGTGTTGACTTATTGGAACTTCTGGAAGTTAACTTAAGTAACTTGTAACGTAAGTCCAGTGTGTAGGCTTTAGTAGCATCTAGCAGTGTATTTGGAGATTGCAACTCACTCGTTTCACCCTTTCTTTCCAAGTGCAAAGAAGAAACTATGGCGGCCGTGATACTCCACTCTACTCCAAAATCCACATTAGTTACTGGAAAGGACTGGTGTATCACCTGCATGCTCAACTAGACTTTGTCGTATGCACTGCACACAATTTGAAAGTATGAAGTCGTGTTATTTGTACACAGATTAAAGAGACTGGGACTTGTTTTTGTAGATTTAGCCATGATATCTATTGGGTTATAACTCACCAAAGTCATGGCTCAGAACTGACAACACAGTCTGATAAAAAGACAGGGATCAGATTGGCCAGATTATTTGAATACTGAAATCGAGCGCACCTGAAATGACAAAAATTCAAGATTACACATTTGCTTTGCTTTTTTATAGCTTTATATAGTCTTCATTTACATCAGTCTTTATGATTTGTGTGATGGTCAAGTGAAAATGTCACAAATATCACTTGATGTCACCCACTTTAATTTAAAACAAAGCCTTTCTAAAATTGGCTTTTGGTTTTCCTAATTTTTCTCTCCTCCTGAGGACACTTGATGCTTATATAAAGATAATACATACAAGAGCATAGGCTTTGACACATTCAAACCTACAATCTTTCGATTATACACACGGCACTCAGAGCCACAAAGTGCACTGCTCTGCCTTGTAATTGTTGACACACAGTCCAATGATGTGGTTGATTATTCCTCTATGAGTGGCGAGTTGTTGTTGTTGTTGTTGCTGTTGTTCTCATGGCTGTGTGTTGAAGCAGGGTTAGCATTATATGATCACTGCACTTGAATGGTATAATGGAGCTGTTCATCCTAAACAGTTAGTCAGCTGAGTCACAGATAACTGAATATTTATCCATTAAACTGTAATTTATCTTTGATTGTCGTTTAAATGCTCCCTCGGAGGTTGTAACAGTCTGATTTTAATAAAAAAATACATTAACAGATAATGATTGCAAATTACTATCTGATAAAAGTTTTAATACACACATATTGTTGGTGTAAATCTGGTTATTGGGCAAAAGAACAGATACACTCCAAAAAGTAATTCAGTGGACCTGTTGTCACCACTTAAATAAATGCGTGGAAAAACTACTTGGAGCAAGTTAATTTTTATGAGTAGCCTAATCAACTTAAAAACTGGTGTTTATACTTATAATTATTGAGTAAATGGTAATTAAAAACACTTTTGATTATAGAGAAAAAACAATTCCCCTAACTCAATTAGTATGTTTGTTGAACATAATTTCATTAGTTGCCATAACTCAAAAATAATGATGTGATGTGAATAATGATTTTTTAGCCAGACATTTGCAGCTGAGCCCCATAATGCAGATAGATTGCTAAATTCATCACTTTTTTTAGACTTTCTGTATATCTATCTGAAAAAGCTTCCTAAAAGAGGACATTAGTCATGACAGTGTAAAACATGAATGTGTGATTATGTTATCTCAATCTATACTTAAAATTGTATCTGTTTTTGCGAATCTTCATTGTACGGACCTTTGTTGATCACACCTGCTCTGTAAAGTTGTAAACAGAAAACAAACTTCTGAAGAAAAGGGGGAAACTCCACAGTTTTCAGTACTCAGGCAGGTGTCACAACCGTGCAATTCAGTCACGTAACTGCACAGGTGTCTATTTGAGATCTAAATGAAGGCTGAGATCAAAGATGGGAGTGGTCCGACCCATGAGTCCTCGTGTCATAATGCTGTAATAACTACTGAGTACTCATGGGCTGGTGTGATCCCATCCGGTGGTCTCCAGTTTGTTCTAGCATGTGTGTACAATGTGTACAAAGAACCTTTAGAAAACATCATTAATGTAATCATTTGTTTTCCATTAGTGCAAATCATTAACCTCTGCATTTCACTGCAATCCCTGTTTCCTTCCTCTCTTCTCTTCTTTTCTCATCTCCAATTTTCTTTGTTTAAATTGGCTCTTTTCCTTTCCAGTCATCTTATCTCCCCTCTTTTTGTTTCCTCTCCTCTCCTTTTCTCATCTTCTCTGTTTCTTTTCCTCATAACTCCATGTTTCCTTTCCTTTTACCACCACTCTTCTACTTCTTCCTACTCTTTTTCTTGTCTTGTCTTCTCCTATCTTTGCTCATTTTTCCTCTCCTTGTTTCCTTCCATCTCCTCTCCTCTCCTTGTCTCTGCCCCCCTTTTCTTGTCTTCCCTTTAAATGCTTCTTTATTTTCCTGTTGTGTCGTCTCATATTTTCTCCTTTTTTCCTTTTCTTTCATTACATCTCTTCTGCTTTTCATTTCTTCTCTTTCCTCCGTTTTCCCACTCATTTCCATTCTTTCCTTTCTTGTCATTTCCTTTCCTCATCTCCTCTATTTTTACACTTTACACTCTCATCTTCTCTGTTTTCCTTATTTCTTATCATATCATCTCCTTGTCTTCTCTCTTCAAATCTTCAATCCTTCTTTTCTGTCCTCTTCTCCTCTGATTTTCCCTCTTTCTTTCCTTGTCTCACCTCCTCTCCTCCTCTTTCAGGAATGGACAGAAGACAAAGTGAAAGCCATGCAGTCTTATTCACGGCTGATTCCCGTGTATGACCCCTGGTCACGGGAGCGTGCAGAGAGCAGGGGATTGTGGGATATGCGATGGCTGAGCAGCTGTGGTGGGGTCAGGGGTCAGCAGCCCTGACGACGGCCTGTTGCCGGGGCAGAGGCGGCGGCGCGGTGGTTGCTAGGGCAGAGGCAGGCTTTGTGGTGCTCCCGATGGAGCATGGAGGTGGGAAAACTGGGGGAAGGGACAGGGAGAAAGAGAAGACATAAAGACGAGAGGAGAAAGAAATTAACAAAGAGAGAAGGTTAGAAAGCAAGAGGAAGGGTGGGAAATTGAGAGAAGGAGGAAAGGAGGAGAAAAAGAAGGAAAGAAACCAAGGCTATATATATTCTAAAACTATAGAGACTGAGAAAATGGGAGAAGCATGAAGGAAAGAGTGAGGTTTTAACAGAAAAGTTCAACATATGACAGATAAAACTGAACTGACCAACCAAATATAAAGACAGGAGTCACACAGTGGAGGTTTAATGGCAGGAGACTGATCTTACTGTAATATTGTTCTAATTGATTTTCATGTCATAACATCACTAGTTTTGTTTATGGGGTTTGTCCAACCAACTGCTGAAGACCAGGCTGAAAGCAAAAAGTCACCGAGACAAACAAGAAGTGATTATGTCTACAATTCACGCCTCAGATATTAAATATGATTATTTTATATTGTTTGGGTTCATTTAAAAATTCCAGTAGAGTTTGTTCGAATGAACTTTAGCAACAGAGTGACTGTGTGTCTAGAGTACAAAGCCAAGGCAGCTAAAAAACACTATCCAATCCAACACTATAAAAGCAATAACACACAAGAGAGTATCTACCCCAGGACACCTCGGCGTGTATTACTGTATGGCACCATGGTCCTTCCTGGGAATTCACAATGAGTTTCTTCATGGCATGGTAGGATGATACTCAACTTCATGGAACACAGAAATGGAAAGATGATTAAGAAATCAAAATAAAAGTTAATCAGGAACGACTCAAGTGGTCAATTTATAGATTCAAGTATTTCTAATTGTTACATAAGACTTCACGAATATCTCAAAAGTTTGTTCTTGAGTGCATCTAGTGTGAGTGTGTGTTTGTGTTCAGCAGCAGATGTATGTGTGTGTGTGTGTGTGTGTGTGTGTGTGTGTGTGTGTGTGTGTGTGTGTGTGTGT